GTGAGTAGGAATTAACTTTTAACACATTTTAAGCAAATTTAGAACATGTTCGATGAAAAACAATGTTGTTTCGACTGTGCACCTGAATTCGTTTTTGTAAACAAACCGGTGTTGATGAATCCTCTTAATAAAGTAGATAGTGGTTTAATCAAATACAAATCTGAAGATGCGTGCGATTGTACTAGGTGGTGAGTCGCCGAGCACGCCAAAACAAGTGTCAAATAAATTGCCATAACTTTTACACTTATGAATATTTTGTTATGAAATTTTGTAAAAACACACTTCTCTGCACCTAAATGAACAACTTTCTCGCTGAACGATTTTCGAAATCGAAATTCCCTCGATACTTTTTCGATTTGAATCTCCTAATTGACATCTACTAGCACGGCGCAATTAAATATTTAATATTAATTAACAACAATAATCTAAATTAAGAATAGTAAACCTATCGTCATTTATAACTAATAGTTTTTGAAAACGAATTTCAAGTAAATTCGATCATTATTACGCGACAAATATCGAGTTAAATATAAAAAAATACTATTGCATTTCATTATCGGAAAATAAGCAGTTATTAATTTTTATTTTAATAACAATATATCTAACAAAAAGATGTTAAATAGAAAAAAGATTTGTTATATTTCAGTCTAATTCAAATTCAAATTGGAGTAACTTTTATTTTTTACTCAAATCCCACAAACTGTTCAACTGCTTCTCGACCGTCCGTCCATGCGTATGTGTCATTCTAGAATTCGGACACTCACTTGCTCGCATAAATTCATCGTGGATTATTGATGGTGTATTAAAGTCAATGTGAGGGATAACAAACGGAAGAGAAGTGCATATTGCAGTACACAAGATTTGCCCCACGAAAATATGACGTCACAAGGTAGAGGACATCCGCCCGCGTTGCCCCCTTTCCGAACCTTCCGGCCTGCTGCCATCCGCCGCCGCGCCGGCCTGTGGTGCCCGACGCTTTCCAAACTTCAAGAGACAAGCATTTTCTGTATAATTTTTATTTATTATTTTTATGAGGCGTCATATATTCAGCAGAGAATGTTTTTGTATTGCAACAAAGTTTTCGTTCCAGCTGATGACACGTTTAGCATGAAGAAAATAACACTTTTATACCGTGCTTTTTTTATTAAATTTCTTATTCTTTCTTAACTGTACGAAATCGGACGGCGTATCGTCTATTAGGGTTAAGTTACCTTTCTGAGAACGTTCAAATTTTCGAACGACGAAAAATGAAAAGGAAAGTTGGATACTTGACGTGGGATTTTATTGCCACATGTATGATATATTTATTTTGATTTTAGGGGGTCGGCGACCCTTGAATTCTACGGTTTGGGGGTCGCTCAGCCCCCCTGATCCATACTTCCAACGTCCCTACTTCAACCGCTGGGGTAGACAAATCTGTTCTCGCTCAGAGACATTTCAGTATGTAGTAATTCGTCTCTGAGCTTCAATGTGTGTTTATGTGAATAGCTGTTCATTGTTTCGTGCGTGCTTCAAGCGTGATTCAGGGGGCAGAAGTTAATTTTTTTTTTTTTTAATTTAAGGTCGCATCAACATCTAGGTCATTGGCGTCCACAGTTGCATTTGACGGTATGATAACTGTAAAGATGAAATATGGTGATAATAGGGGGTGAAAGCACGAACACAATACAACCATGCCCGAGGCGGGACTCGAACCCGCGATCCTTCGGTCCGAGTCTCCGGATATCTGATCCTCCGGACTGATAAAATATATTTTTAATTTAATTATTTCGAAATACACTTTCCATCCGTTATTAGGGTGGTGGACTGGTCAAAAGTGAAGACAAAATTGTACACGTTTTAACAATACATTTGTTGCGTTAACTTTTTAATTAATGCATATTAGCGAGATTTGGCGTTTATGTGAAAGTGAAAGTAAACTGACGTTGACAGGAATTTATTTCAGTCATTTATTACATAGGAAAAGTGACGAGTTGCTCCGCTCCGCTTCAACCCCCCCCCCCCCCCCCCCCCC